CACAGAATCCGAAACAGGCTCCAGGCTCTGAGCGGTCAGCACAGAGCCCGACGCGGGGCTCGAACCCACCAACCGTGAGATCGTGACCTGAGCTGAAGTCGGACGCCCAGCCGACTGAGCCACCCAGGAGTCCCCCCACCTTCTTAAATATATCCAGAATCCGACTTCTCGTCACCTCAGCAGATCCACCCCAGGCCACGTTGGAATCACCTGGCACCTGGATGATCCCGACTCCCTCCTCACTGGTCTCCCAGATTCCACTCCTGCCCTCGCCGATCTGTTCTCCACATACGGCAGCCGGAGGGAGACTTTTAATGCCTTCGCCCAGAGGACTCCAAACCTCTATAAAGGTCCGGGTAGTAAACCTTTTCAGCTTTGGGGGCCCTGTGGTCTCAGCTGCAAAAACTCGACTGGGCACAAGCAGCCACGGACGAGCGTGCCTAGGTGCCAATAAAGCTTTATTAACAATAGTCCTTGCCCGGCTTGTCGTCTCCTCGTGTCCCCCTATTTCAAACCTTTTCACGGGCAACGAACACCCGAAATCCCATTACCTGTCTGTCTCTCTCACCAGCTTCCTCTTGGGCTCCTCCCGCACAGTTCTGCCTACCCTCAGGGTTCACTCGTCACCTCCTCCGCGAAGACTTCCCCGATTCCCTGATCTGAACCGGCACTCTCTCCCCATCCCCCCCCCCCCCCCCCCCCCCCCCCCCCCCCAGTCTGTCTCCTCCACGCGAGTGTCAGCTCCCGGCTGTGTCCCAGCGCTTTGCACCATGCCGGGCACGTAGCAGGTGCGCGACCTCTCCGCGGGGCAAAGGCACCCAAAGCAGACACCCAAAGGCAGGGGCTCGCGGAAGAACCGGGGGGTGGGGGGGGTGGGGGGAACGAGAAGGGTGTGGACCCCGTCGGGCCGGGGGCGGGGGGGGCTTCCTCACCTGGCTGGCCCCCGACCGGCTTCCTCTTCGCGGCTCTCCTCGTCCTGCTGCCGCTCCTTGCTGTCCCCCAGCGGCTGTGGCTCCGGGTCCTTGCACTCTACGTGGGGCAGGTCCACCTGGGAACACAGCCAGCGCTTGAGAGGCCAGAGGAGGGAAGGCGAGAAGGGGTCAGACCCCCCTCCCCCACTTTCCCGTCCCTTCGACCCCGGGCACCTCCGTGTGCCGCTGCGCAAGGCCGGGGACCCCCCAGGAGAGATGCGCGGGGCTGGGACGGGCACCACGAGGTCGGGGACGTGCGCTGGGACGGCCCTGCGCCCGGAGCGCCGGAGGACGGAGGCGGGGAGACCGGGGCGGGCTGGGGTGAGGGCAGGGGCTCCGGGAGGGGCGCTGGGGGCCCCGGGCTCCTAACTGGGGTGTGTGCTGGCTCGAGTCCTTCGAGGAAGGAGAAGAGGCAGGGGAAAAAGTAGAAAAGAAAAGGGTGCGGCGCCTGGGTGTCTGAGACTTTCTCTACCCTGCTCCTGCCACGCGCCATGCGTGGAAGTCTGTCCTTCCGGCCCGTGTCAGTCACACAGCCCCCGTCCGTCAGTCAGGGCCCGGTCAGTCAGTCAAGAAAAAGGGGCCCGGCCGGGCGAGGCGCGGCCTCGACGGTAGGAGGCAAGCGGCCGGGTTCTGGTCCCCCAGGGAAGCCCGAGAGCTCGGCCGTTCCCAGTCTGTCCGCCCGCCGCCCACGCGAAGGCAACAAACGCCGCGTACTCCCTGCCGCTCCATCCTGTCTTTTCCCGCCTTCTCCTTCACTCTCTCTGCGCACGCGCCGGCCCCGCCCTCCGGCTCGCGCGCCCCCCGGGCACGTGCTGCATCACGCGCGCCTGGTTCCGCCTCTTTCTGGGAACTTGCGCGCGCAGCGGGGCGGAGTCGGCCGTTAATCGGCGGTTGGGCTGTCCCAGGGGCTGCGCGCGCAGCGGGCGCCGCCTGGAGGAGGGGGCGGTCTCTGTGCGTGCGTGTGCCCAGAAGGGAGGATCCTGGGCGCTCTGTGGGTGGGGGGCATCGAGCTGTCTCGGCGTTAGTGCTTAGGTTTCGCTTCACCCGCGCTGTCCCGTGAAATCTTTGCAAGAAAAAGGCCTCACGGTTGCTGTTCTTTGATTGTGACCCATTGCCTTAAGTGAAAAAGTTTATGCAGTGCCACCTTGAGTCAGAGTTACTTGTGCACTCTAAAACTGTCAGCTTCTTAAAAGCTTGGTAGGGTCTGGCCTTTACAGACTCGGACCCACATCCCTTACGAACAATGGTAGTAATAACAATAATAACGGACACTTGAGGCGTCAAAGATGGGGAGAAAATATTTGCAAAACATGTATCCATATCTCACAGCCAGCATCTACAAAGAATTCTTACAACTGGATAATACGACAACCTCCCCCCCCCCCCCTTAAAAATGGGCAAAGGATTTGAATAGGCGTTTGCAGTGCAAAGGTCCTGAGGGGAGCAAACTCAAGTGTGCTTGAGCAGCTAGGCCTAGTGGGGAGGGAGAACAGAGGTTGTGGGTGAGGGATCAATGTTGGGCAGGTTTGGGCTGGGAGCCGAAGCAAGGGGTTAGGATTTTGCTCCAGTTCACTGGTAAGGTGGACCTGCTCTCTGAAACACCTGGCATAGTGTCCAGGTAGGAGAGGCAGCAGGGATTCTGCGCAGGGCTCTGTCTCCTGCCACACAAGGACGGGCACACATCTTGACACCTACATTCTGGAGAACGTGGCTTGAATCTGGGCTCTCTTACCAGCAAGAGGGGCTGGAGGGGGCGGGGGCGGGGGCGGCATAAAACTGCCACTCAATCTCAAAATCCATCTTTGCCTGTAACTGAGGCAATAAAATCTAAAACGTCAGACTACTGTAAGGGATTCAGAGAAAAACATATGGAACACAATAGTTTAATACAAAGCAGCTAACGTTAGTATCTTGTGGCAAAGCCACAATGTAAGCAAAATGTAGCTTCCTGCAGCACCAGATTTGAAGATTTGAGGATTATCTGAGAAAAATCTCAAAGATTTACTGTTAAGCATGCACACACAAACACGTACACACTGACCAGGAACAAAAGCAACACGCAATTTGCTGGAATTTTTTTTTTAATGGTGCAGCGTCTGTGTAACTTCTGAAGACAAGCAAAGTCCAACCATGTTTTGTGAAAATAATATACAATAGCAAAAGCTTAAAAACACAGGAGAATGAGAAAACACCAAATTTAGGAGGGAGCAATCTCAGCAAGGTGCTGGCTAAAGGAGATAGGACAAGCCCACAGGCTCTTCAAACCATTAGGCACATGGATCTAAAATGTGAAAGACCCAAAACAAATACAATGTGCCGATTTGATCCAACCTGGGCAGATGGTGTTAGGCTTTTTTTTTTTTTTTTTAAATGTTTATTCATTTTTGAAAAAGTGAGAGCACAAGCATGGGTGGGGCGGAGAGAGAGGGGGACACAGATTCCGAAGCAGGCTCCAGGCTCTGAGCTGTCAGCACAGAGCCTGATGCGGGGCTCGAACTCACCGACTGCGAGATCATGACCTGAGCCGAAGTCGGACGCTCAACCATCTGAGCCACCCAGGCGCCTGTTAGGCTTAATTTTAACATTATATATGCTTAACCTTCCCCACCCACCTTCACTTTTCTGTGGCCTCAACTCTCCCTCCATTTCTGCATTTATCTGTTTATGTCTCCTGTGTTCCCTTCCCCCCCGCCCCCGCCCCCCCACGCCAGCTCCCAACGGCAGGGACCTGAATCAGCTTTGCGGTCTTCAGCTCAGGACGTTGCTGGGACTCAGGAGGTGCACATTTGTTGCATGAATGAGTATTTTTCCGTATGAGTGAATTAATTTGAAATAAAGAAAAAAAATCGACCAAGTAGCCCTTGGGAGATTGGTGCCCACAGGCCCTGGGACTGGAGAAGCCCACGGCCTCAGCTGCCAACTGTTTGGGTTTTACAACGGCTTCATGGTTATACAACTGTTCACATTTCCAAAGTGCACTGACCCTGAAGATGTGGGGTGAGCAATGTGGAGGCTGAGATTTGCTTTAAAACATCTGCACAGAAACAGAGATCCCACTCACCGTTCAATGTGGGCTCACGAAGCTCTGTCCTACTCATCTCCCTATTCTGAGCCCCCGTGAAATCCTTACGAGAATTTTTTAAATGTTCACTTATTTTTGAGAGAGAGACAGCTCGAACAGGGGAGGGGCAGAGAGAGAGAGAGAGAGACAACGGAATCCGAAGCAGGCTCCAGGCTCTGAGCTGTCAGCAGAGCCCGACATGGGGCTCGAACTCACCAACAGTGAGATCACGACCTGAGCTGAAGTCAGACGCTTAACCCACTGAGCCACCCAGGTGCCCCTTATGAGAATTGTTTTCCTAACATAAAAAGAGCAACTTTTGAGGGGGAGGATGGAGGGATGAACAGGCGGAGCACAAGACTTTTAGGGCAGTGAAAATACTCTGCATGATACCGTAGCGATGGAAACACATCATCTTACGTTGTCCAAACCCAGAGAATGTACAACACCGAGCATGAACCATAATGTAAACCATGAACCAACCGTGGGGGACTGTGTAGTTCATTCATTTTAACAAATGCACCCCTCTGGCGGCGAAGATGTTGACAGAAGGGAGGCTGTGCATGCATGGGGGCAGAAGGTATACGGGGAAATTTCCGTACTTTCTGCGCAATTTTGCTGTGCGCCAGAAACTGCTCTTTAAAAAAAAGAGGAGGGGAGGGGGCGGTGTTTTAAAGTTGCCCCTGTCACCCCACCATGCTGGGCTCCCAGGGGGAATCTTGGCACCTGCCTTGACCTTCCCCTCCCAAATGCCCCTCGCCCGGGGCAGGGGGCTTCTGTTCCATTCACCTAGAGGACAGCCTGGCACCACCAGGTGATGGGTAAATGCTTGATGGAGCCAGTCCTCCCCAGGGGGATGGAGCAGGCTCAGGCAAGCCAGGGGCTCCTGAGGTTCCAGGATCCCCAACCCACCACCCCTCACACCAAGGACTCCTCACACTCCTCCATCCCTAAGGAAAGGCACCATATGAGGACAAATGCCCACTTTATTAGCCAGCAGCTGGCCTGCAGGGCTCCCTAGGGCCCCCCTTCATAGATCATACCTGCTACCAGGCCCCCACCCCCCACCCCTAGGACCGTGGGGCAGATGGGGAAAGAGGAGCTACCAGGGACGGGGGGATGGCCTCACAGAGGCCTCATAAATACGAGAGGGTCACTGGCAGGGATGCAAAGGGGCTGGACGGCAGGGGCTCAGGGAAGGCGGGCTATCCCAGGGCGGTCCACGTCATGCGGTGCCCTGTGTCCGTGGGGGCCCCGGCTCAGCGTCTAGGCGGCACAGGGGGCTGTCGTACACCATCTGCAGGTTCACCTTGTGGCCCACCAGCTCCCGGATGTTGTTGATGCCGTATTTGATCATTGTTGGGCTTTGGGTGGGGAAGGGAGGAAACAGTTTTAACACCACGTCAGGTCACGCTCTCCTCTGATCAGACCCTCTCCGACGGTTCCCATCTCCTTCGAATAAAAGCTCGAGTTGCTCCCAGGGCTCACAAGTCCCTGACGTGTCCTGTGTCCTGCCCCTTTCCCACCCTCATCTCATCTCACTCTACTGACTCTCTCCCTCCAGCCACCTCGACCTTCTCAGTGTTCTCCAAACACAGCACGCACATTCCTGCCTCAGGGCCTTTGCACTGCCTGTTCCTGCTGACTGAACACCCTTCCCAGTATTCCCCTGGCTTACTCCATTCACTTCCAGTCTTTGCTCAGATACCGCCTCTTCCTTGAAGCCTTCCCTGACAACCTTGTCTCCTTAGTCCTCCCTGCTGCATTTTCCCCACAGCACTTACTGGCCTCAGACACACTCCAGACTTTACCTGTTCGATTTACTTATGTATCTTACTAATTATCATCCTTTTCACTGCACTACGACCCTAACTTCACAGAGGCAGGGATGTGTGCTGTCATCCTCATAGGACAGGACCAAGCATACAGCAGATGCTCACTAAAGGCTTATCGAGTGAGTGAATAGATGGACGGTGCTAAGGTCTGCAGGCCCCCGGGCCCGTCAAGTCAGACACCCTGAGTGGTTTGGACACTCACCGCTCCAGGGAGAGGCCCCAAGCAATGACTGACACGTTTTCGGGGAGTCCCATGGGCAGCAGCATCTCGGGGCGGAAGATCCCAGAATTCCCGACTTCCACCCACTTCCTCAGGCCTGTAGACACAGGAGAAGGACAGGGCAGATATCGTGTGGATGATGCTGGGTCTGGCAGTGAGCTTGGGAGTGGGCTTGGCAGTGAAAGGGACCCGGGCTGAGCGTAGGCAGCCTGAGACATCCCTCCCCCTCTCGGGACCAGGTTCCACCCTGACCTTGGTGGTAGCTGAACACCTCCATGCTGGGCTCCGTGTAGGGGTTGTAGGCCGGCTTGAAGCGCAGCTGGGTAATACCTGGGCAGGGGAAGCAGGGGAACAGAGGAGTGGAAGATGAGCCTGGCGGCCGTGGCATCCTCGGCCCCACTAACACCGCCCACGTGGCCCCGCCTGCCTACCCAGCTTCGTGAAGAACTCCCGCAGGACGCCCATGAGGTGGCCTAGGGTGAGGCCGTGCTCAGCCACCACACCCTCGATCTGGTGGAACTCGGCCAGGTGTGTGGCATCTAGGGTCTCGTTTCGGAACACACGATCGATGGAGAAGTACTTGGCCGGCGTGAAGGGCTTCTGGGGGCGACAGGCAGGCCAGGCCCGGGAGTAGGTCAGAAGGCCGGTAGGACAGCCCCCAGCCTCCCCCACTGCCCAGGCTGAGCAGCACCTTCTGAGCCAGGCGGTAGAGGGCACGGGCACTGGCCGACGTGGTGTGCGTGCGCAGCAGGTTTTTCCGGGCCTCTTCCAGCTTCCAGTTGTACTTGTACCTTCGGGAGGACAAATGGCAAGTCCACGTTGTGGCCTTCAGGTCCCCGACCTTCTTCCCCCATCCCGACACCCCGAAGCCCTGGGCCCGCCTCACCCCTGTGAGCCGTAGCCACCCTGAGAGTGGGTCCGCTTGACCCGATGGACGTAGTCCATTGGAAGCTGCAGGGCCTCAGCTGGATCTGGGCAGGACAGAGCATCACCTGGTCAGTCAAGGAGCATTTCTCAAACAGCCACTGCACAGAGGACAGACAGCAACACGTGCAGCTCCCACCCTCGCCACCCACGGCAGCCAGAGGGTGCTGGCAAACATCCGAGTCAGTCACATCCCTCCTCTGCCCAGAGCCCTCCGTCTCCCGGGGGGGGGGGGAGGTGATGAAGCTCGCTGTCTGGTGATGCAGTCCTGTCACCTCCCATTCCTTCCTAACTGATCACTCCCTCCAGTCACAGGGCCTCCCAGCTGATACGTCAGCATACCAGGCACATTCCAGCCTCAGGGCCTTTGCACTGGCCATTCTCTCCTGGAACTTTCCTTCCCAGATATGGTTCTCTCCCTTATGTCCTTTAGCCTTTACTTAAACAAACTTGATTTTATTTAACGTTTATTTATTTTCGAGACAGAGAGAGACAGAGCATGAACTGGGGAGGGTCAGAGAGAGAGAGAGAGACACAGAATCTGAAACAGGCTCCAGGCTCTGAGCTGTCAGCACAGAGCCCGATGCGGGGCCCGAACCCACGGAGCTCGAGATCATGACCTAAGCTGAAGTCGGACGCTCAACCGACTGAGCCACCCAGGTGCCCTGCGGTAACCCAGGTGTTTAATAAAGATCCTGGCACACAGGAGAGGCCGAACAATCACTTGTTGTGTGAATATGCAAATTCTTAAGATCCCTTTCCAGAAACATCATTTTGGTACACCTGAAAAGCCTGACATCAAATCCCAGCTTCACCGCTTATAAGCCGTGTGACCCTGGCAAGCGATGTTCCTTCTCTGAACCCCACTTTCCTCATTTATAGAAGAGAGCTAACAGCGGTACTTCCTACAATTGGCAGGAAAATTAGAACAGCGGCTGGCATATGGTGAGTACTTAGTAAGTTTTGGGGGCCATGGTAACTATGACAGCAATGCCACTGTTGCTCCTGGCCGGGTAACAGGCACCCAACTCAGTGGCCTCCCCTGCCTTCCTGTGCGGGACGATGACAATCACTGTGGAAAGTCATTCAATTTCAGACAGTACTAAGCACTGCGAAAAAAAGAAAAAAATGGGAAGCAAGCTTAGAGACTAGGGACGAGGGATGTTTTGACCTTAGGGGGGACAAAGGCATGTCAAGGTGGCCTCTGTGAGGTGACACGTTAGCAGAGGTCTGATGCTGCAGCCCACCTCGAAGATCTGGGAGAAGATGGTCCTTGGCCGAGAGCTGCCTGGCAGCACGGGCCAGGGCCATGAAGTGGGCAGGACAGGACGTGGGAGGAAGTCACAGAGGTCAACGGGCCCAGCTCACAGCGGCCCGGTGGGCCACAGCGAGGATGGAGTTTATTCCGTAAAGTAAGTATGCCACTCCAAAAAGTTCTGCCCGGGCCCGGCGCCTCTCGCGCCCACCCCACCTACCTCGAAGGAAGAAGGTGTCGTGTTGGTCACGTGCTGGGTGCTGCTGGGGCTGGAAAAGTGCATCAAAGTTCCAGAAGGAGCTCTCGATGAAGTTGTCGGTCGGCATCTCCGTGAACCTGGAGGGAGATGAAGCCTGACCGTCTGGCCTGCGCCCTGTGGCTGGGCCGGCCCCACCCCCGGCCCTGTGCTCACCCCATCTCCAGGAAGATCTGCCGGAACTGCGTGCGGACCTTGAGCAGAGGGTGCAGGTGGCCGCTATCTGGGAGGACGCCATGGGCCAAGAAATTGTACGGCTTGAAGGGCCGGTCCCGCCAGGAGCCGCTGTCAGAGGATGCAGGGCACAGGGGCCTGATGAGGGCTGCCCTCCCTCCCAGACCTACCCCAGTCCCTGGGGCCACTCCCTACCTGGAGATCATCTCTGGGCTCAGCTCTGTCTCCTGTTTGGAGATGCTGGTACTGAAGGCACTGCCTTTGCTCACCCAGTAGGTCTTCAGGGTCCTGAGGCCAGAGGAGAGGAGGGGTTGCCCACTGTCACCTCTTTCCAGAGGCTTCCCTTGAACTCCTATCTGAGGCTGACCCCAACACTCCCCACTCAGTCGCGCTACTTTATTTTCTTCCCAACATTTATCGTCACCGGAAATTCTCTTATTGGGCCCACACCTACATTGCTGTGCCCATTCACTTATTCGTTCAACAAGCACTTAACTAAAATCTACTATGTGCCAGGACCTGTTCAAGGTACTTAAGCACCCAGCTGAGTAAGAATAATAGGTCAAGTCTCAAGGGTTTATCCCGTGCCAGGCTCTCTTCTCTTCCACTGCAATCATCCCACTACTTTGTGAAAAGAGGTCATTTTACAGATGAGGAACTCCCTGAGGCCCAGAAAGAGCGAATGCCTTGGCAAAGGTCACCCAACTAGTAAGTGCCAGGAGCCCGGACCTGGATTGGGCAGCCCTCCTCCAGTCTGTGTTCTCATAACCACTATGCCACTTGGTACCTGCTCAAAGGGTACATCAGCCCTGTGAGAGCAGAGCCCCCAGCCTGTGCAGGTCCCAGCATTCAATCAATTTCAGACACGGAAATCAGAGCCGTAAAGGAAATAAACATGGCACCCAGAATGGAAAGTATAAGCGAGCAGCTTTTACGGAACTCAAAGGGAGAGATCGGTGTCAGGATGGCCTCTTTAAGGTGACACACAGGCACAGGTGTGATGCCCAAGCTTGGCTTAAGAGGAGACAGTTCTCGGCAGAACTCGTGGCATGAGCGAAGGCCCTGAGGCGGCATGAACCTGGCATGAGTGCTTGACAACCATAGGGTAAAACACAGCTTGGAGGACACTGACAGCACTGCCCCAGTGTGGGCAGGACGGCTCCCTCCCCCCATTCCTCCGGGACCACACAGGTGATGGCTGATGGAAAGGGGGCACCCACTCACACTTCGGTCAGCAGTTTCCTCTTCCTGAGCTCACTCCTTTCCTTCTCACCCAGCTTCTCAGCCTGCCCACCCTGGACCAGTTGGAGCCGCCGCTGCACCTCGTCCTCCACGCTGTCCACCTGCCGTGATGATGACAGGTGTGAGGCACCGTGAGGGCCAGGTGCCCATGTGCACACCTGCCCGCCTGTACGCAGGGACTCACCACTCGGAACACACGGGGCCCATCAGCTGCACTCTTATCCACGCGGATCCACTTGTTGGACATGGCCTTGCTGAAGCCCACCTTGCCGCTGGGCAGTCGCTGGGGGAGTAAGGCCACAGTAAGTGGAGCATGGGGCCACCTGACCCCGTCACCTCCCTGGGCCTTGTCCCTAGGCCCTTACCATAAGCTCGCTCTGGGCCAGGCCCTCCGGGGGGATGCTGCGAAACACCCGGGCCTCATGGCTGCCCTCCCGGGCTATCTCCTCACCCTCAGCGGTAAGCTCCCAGCGCTTGGTGGAACGTAGCTCAGCCTCAATGATCTGCAGGGAAATGGGGGAGGGGGCGCGCACAGAGACAGGGTTCAGAGCCAGGCACGCCCTCACCACAGCACTGGGCTTGCAGAGTGTCCGAAGCCTGCCTCACATCCGAGCTGCACCACTTCCCAGCTGAGTGACTGCCCCTTGCTGAGCCTCAGTTTCCCTTCTGTAACATGCAGATAATGAGAGATGGCTCACACCTCCCAGAGTGAGGTAAAGTACGAAGAATGGTACCTAGCAAAAAAAATAAATTCGATTGCTTTCGAATCCAAGAAAGATTTTTAAGGTCCCGGGTGAATTGACTTGTCTCCACATTTGACGTGTTCACATCTCAGTGCCCGGAGTGTCAGAGAAGGGCCCCCGTGTCCACATTACACACAGGGACCCAAAGCTCCACGGTAAGGATGGGTCCAGGTCGTATAAAGAGGGGCAAGGTCGGGGCGCCTGGGTGGCTCAGTCAGTTAAGCATCTGACTTCGGCTCAGGTCATGATCTCGCGGTCCGTGAGTTCGAGCCCCACGTCAGGCTCTGTGCTGACAGCTCAGAGCCTGGAGCCTGTTTGAGATTCTGTGTCTCCCTCTCTTTCTGACCCTGCCCCGTTCATGCTGTCTCTCCCTGTCTCAAAAATAAATAAATGCTAAAAAAAATTTTTTTAATTAAAAAAAAAAAAAAAAGAGGGGCAAGGCCAGCTGGGGCCCATAGGGCTTAGCTCCCTTTTCATTCTAATTCCCAGCTCTGCTCCTCACTCCCTGTGTGAACTTGGGAAAGTTGTTAAACTTCCCTGAGCAAGTTTTCTTATCAACAAGAGAAGGGTGTGATGGGCTCTACCACAGGAAGTTTTCTTGACAAGTAACGGATTCAGTAAGCAGCAAACACTGCATAAATTCTAACCACTGTTCCTATCATTGTTATCACCATCTCTGCTGTTAGACTGAACCACATCAAATAGCCACTATTTAACCTTCTGTGACCAGCACAAGTCAATTCCACATCAAACAAGGTACTGTCACCCCACAAGATACCTTTCCTGCACTGATAACCTCAGGATCTGCAGCCTGAATACTCAATTTCTTTGTCTTTTAAAAATTTTGTTGGGGCGCCTGGGTGGCGCACTCGGTTAAAGCCTCCGACTTCAGCCAGGTCACGATCTTGCGGTCCGTGAGTTCGAGCCCCGCGTCAGGCTCTGGGCTGATGGCTCAGAGCCTGGAGCCTGTTTCCGATTCTGTGTCTCCCTCTCTCTCTGCCCCTCCCCCGTTCATGCTCTGTCTCTCTCTGTCCCAAAAATAAATAAACGTTCAAAAAAAAGAAAATTAAGAAAAAAAATTTTGTTAATGTTTATTCATTTTTGAGAGAGAGACATAGCATGAGCTGGGGAGGGGCAGAGAGAGAGAGGGAGACACGGAATCCGAAGCAGGGTCCAAGCCCTGAGCTGTAAGCACAGAGCCAGATGTGGAGCTCAAATCTCGAACCAGGAGATTATGACCTGTGCCGAAGTCAGATGTTCGACTGAGCCACCCAGGCTCCCCTGAATGCTTAATTTCAAATCCAGGTTTGCCTGTCCCTTCTCATGACGCTGATCAAGCTACTGACCAGTGCTCAGAAACTGTCACATCTGCAAAGCGGGCGTAACAGTGCTAACATCTTCCGGTTATGGCAAGGACTAGGTGATAAATGAAGTTGAGACCAAAGTGGGGCACAGAATATGAGTTCAATGAACACATACCCCAGTTATATTTTCTGATTCCTAGCCTTGAGGATCCAGCCTCCTGGGGGGCCTACAGGCCTCTCGGATTCTCCTCTTATGGCTCTATCACCTTTCACTTGTCCAAGTCAAAAAGGCTGGGCTTCATCCCATGCTCCCCCTGCCTTGCCAGGAATCCCCTCTCCCTTCCACCCGCCTCCCTACAGCCAGACACCATGCCCTCTACCCTGGGGATGTGCCAGCCTCTGCCTTCCTCCCCTCACCACCAGTCCTGCCCCTGCCAATCCTTCCCCAAAGTGATGCAGACAGCACATATATCTGACTGGCTCCAGCTCCCCCAGTACCCCCATGAGATAAAGACCTACGAGGCCTTGTAAGTTTTGGCTCTACTAATGCCTTTCTACGCCTGTTTCCCGTTCCCACCATTGATCCTGAAGCTTTCCTCCTCAGTGCAGAGGCCCGACTCGGCTGCCACCTCCTCCAGGACGTTCTCTTTGACTCCCCAGGCTGGGCCAGCTGTCACCTCTGGGTTGTCTGTGCTTCCTCCATCACTCTGCAGGTCACCTGAGGGTCTCCCTCATTAGATCGCAATCTCCGTGAGGGCAGGGACCGCCTCTTCCTGGTCCACCATCGTGCCCCTCGCCCCCGCCAACTCTCTCTCAATGGACATTTACTGCGAACGGAACGTCAGCGCTCCCGGGCTCTCACTTGTTTCCGACTCCCTGCCCGCGCACCCCAGGATGGACTCCTGAAGGACTCCCCAAGAAGCAGTGCCTTCCAGGCAAGAGGACTGCACGTACAAAAGCGAGAAGGCCAGGCATCACGGGCCCGACTTACCTCTCCCAGCGCCTGCAGGCTCTTCACGGCGCCCACCACTGCCTGGTGCTCCACGCCCAGCTTAGCCGCCAGCTCCGCGCTGTCCAGGCCGCCATCGGCCGCCGCCAGCTGCCTCAGCAGCACCTCCGCCACCGGGCCGTCCGCCATGGCTGTGCCCAGCGTGCTCGGCGTATCCCGCCGGAGCCTGAACAACCGGAACCGGAACCGGCGCCGGGAGTGTGTGTCGCCATCTTGAGCGTGGCGGACCTTGTGCCGGGTTCAGAATGCCGCCATCTTCAGTGTGGCGATGGAACCTTAGGGGGTGGGAGGGACACCGTGCCCACCTCCACCCTAGCTGGAATAGTGGTGTCTGGTGGACTAGAGAGGCCAAATTGCAAACCTCAAGGACAGAATCACAGAGTTGTTTTAAGTGTCACCCAGCCCCACCTCCAGCAGGCGGTGTGACCTTGGACTTCTGTCTCTCTGTGCCCAGGAGCCCTCTGCCTTTCTGTATTGGCCTGTGGGAGGGCTGTAGGTGGTGGGCTTCAGGGACAGTCATTCCCTGGTCAACTACTTTTAAGGTCCCCCCCCCCCTTAATTTTCAGTGTTTATTTTTAAGAGAGAAAAAACAAACAGTGGTGGGGGGGAGGGGGAAGAGGGAGAGAGAATCCCAAGCAGGCTCCACACTGTCAGCGCAGAGCCTGGCTGGGCTTGTTCCCACAAACTGTGAGATCATGACCTGAGCCAATATCAAGAGTCAGACACTTACCTAAGACACTCAGGCGCCCTTACTTTCAAGTTTTTAAAGGGAGACTAGGTAGGGACTATCCTTATATACAAAGGGGAGAGGGAGTCAACTAATAACAGTTACAGTCAAGGTAGCAGCTAACCTACATGGACATCCCTGTGTGCTCTGCCCAGTGCTAAGTGCTTCGGGTGTGTTATTTCATTTTCCCAAAAACTTTGATACAGATATTGATATCGCCATTTCACAAATGTGAAAATGGAGGCTCAAGAGGGTGGCAGGTCTCTAGCAACAAACAGTTGCTAGATATGGTGCCAGAAACTATAAACACCTCCGATCCCACCCCCCCATCCCTGAATGCTCGGAGAAGATCAATGTCAGGGCAATAATGCATACTCGAAACCAGTTCTGGCCTGTAGAGATAGAATGCGTGACACAAATCTAATTTTAAGCTTTCTAGTAGCAATGTCAAAAACAAAATGGGTGAAATTAATTGGAAGAATTTACCAAAGTTGCCAGGTCCAAATGATTATTTCCATACTTACTATAAAACTACTAATGAAATACTTCACATTCTTTTTCCATACTAAGTCTCCAGAATCTGATGAGTGCTTTTACGGTTATGGCACATCTCAGTTGGGACAAGCTACATTTCAAATGGTCAACAGTCACATGTGGCCAGTGGAGATTATAGTAGGCAGTGTAAGTAGATTCTAATCCCATTTATGCCACTCACCCAAATCGCTTAATCCTTCTGTGCCTGTTTCCTTGCCTGGATAGAGATGCTATGAACACAGGTTATTTAAGTGAAAATACTACCCACACATGTACACGTACTTGCTAAGAGTCAACTGTGTGGAGCATGTGACAAGTACGATTCTAAGCAGAACATCTTTACTCATTTAACCATCACGATTACTATTTGAGCCGGGAAGATGGGTTTACTCAACATCATCCAGTCCTGACCCTACGGTAAGCTCCTGATAAAAATTCGGGATGTGTCCCTCAAAGTCCCTTCTTAGCTTCAAAGCACTTTCTTCCTCTTTTGTTTATTGAATTCCTCCAAGAGTCTTTCCTTCTGTCTGTCACATAGCGAGTAGATTTTAAGCCTGCCGGGTGCCAGGTGCTGCAAGAGACACTGGGGGATGGTAAAGTGAATAAGACCGTCAGAGTGTCCACATTCGAGCAGGAAGCACCAAGCTCATGTGTGCATGACATATGGCGGAAGGGAAGGAAGGCTGGAGGGTCAGTGGCAGGCCTGCAGTGGCCACCCCAGATTGGGGCTCCTCATGACCAGGGATTGGGGGGGGGTGCAGGTTGGCTGATACTGGATACTGCCTGGGGCAGAACCCCAACTTCTCCAAGACTCCTTATTCCTCCCTTTTCTGAGTCCCCACCACTATCCCCGAAGCACCCCCCCCCTCCCTGCTTTTGCCAGGATTCCCCCTTCCAAGCCCACGTTCCCAGGTCCAGAGCCTGTTTGCTCAGGGTTTGGGAAACCCCCAGCTCTCCTTCCTGCTTCCTGCAGCTTGGGGGCAGGGAGATGGTGTCTGTCACTGTCAGTCACGTGCCTTTGGCTTCAGAAGACTCTGGATTCAGGGGTCCTGCCCATCTCCCTTGGACTTTATCTTCCCCACCATCTGTCTCTTTTTTTCCTCCCCAACGGAACCCCCATCCTCTCTTTCTTTAGCCGTTTAATTGCAAAAGGCAGGCCGTTTGTGGGAGACCACAGGCAGCGACCCCTTTACTGGCTGAGGGAGGGGTAAAGGAGAGGCCGCAATTAGAGGAACAACCCTACCCCACTCTGGGAACCACAGCCTATAGTCACATCTTGGAGCCTTCTGGGCTTCCTTCCCTCTGTCCCAGGACAACCCTAACAGCACTGAAAGCGGTTTTGTAGGGCGGCACCTAGCCAAAGTTTCTCCTCCTAGCCTCTTAGGGGCTCCTGTGTCTTCAGATGCTAAGTGACTTGCCCCGGTCACACAGCAGCAATCTGACAGGCGGCCAGGGCACTAGGGGCCAGAGAGGAGAGAGCTAACATTTTACTCTCTGGCCTGCAAGGCTGTGGCACCGGGATGAAGTGAAGACCCAAGGACTCGGCCTCTGAGCTCAGGCGCCCCCTGCCCCACCGTGGCCCGGGGCGGGGGCGAGCGAGAGAGAACGCGTCAGTAGGGGTTCCCCAACTGCAGGGTAGAAAGTGGCTGAGAAAACCTTGCCCACCCTTACCCGCAGAGGGGACGAGAGAAGGCGAGCTGGGGCAGGACCCCGGTCCTGAGCAGTGACAGCGGCACTCGCGCGCGTTCTTTAAACTCCCAGATCGGGAGCTAAGCGCGCGGGCTAGGGCGGGGTTGGGTCGAGGTCTGGTCACATGACCTGGCCAGAGGGGCTCGAGGCCCCCACCACATCGGTGGGCGGCCCCCACAACGCGTGGTCGTCCTTCATTGGCCAGTTGTATGGCCAATAGAAATCGGCCATCTGGGAACTCTGCGTTCCGAGGCACATACTAACCTGCTCAGACGACAAGGACCCAATGGAAAGTCAGGGCCGTGACCACTGACCAATCATAAGGTGCGGAGGGCGGGACAAGAGGCCGGCCCAGGTTGGTTTGAGAGACAGTAGGGTATAAAAACGCGCGGCCGGCGGCAGCGTCCGTTCCTACTGCAGAGTCGCCGCCGGAGGAGAGTTTTAAAGGGCCCGCGCGCCGCCGCCCCCTCGGCCCGCCATGCTGCTACCCGTGCCGTTGCTGCTCGGCCTCCTCGGCCTGGCCGCCGCCGAGCCCACCGTCTACTTCAAGGAGCAGTTTCTGGACGGAGGTAAGGCCTGGTCCCGCCTCGAGGCCGCCGCGACGACGAAAGCGGCCCCCCAGCCTAGATCTGCGTTGTCGCTTGTAATTACTGCTTAGAGGGCCAATACGGTGGCCTCCGGGGACTAAAGCCGCAGGCGAGCCTCCGTTGTGTGTCCCTTGGGGAGCGTCGAGGGTGCAGCGGACTCTCGCGGCGTGAGTTAGGGTTTGGCGGAGGATCCTTTAAGCCATCCAAGGTGTCAAACTAGAGGTTGGGGCGGGGGCAGTCGGGGGTTATCCCTTTTCCAATCCGCAGCAGTTTGAGGCTACTGGAAGATATTCGGTGGGGGTGGAGTGGGTCAGTACGGCCGCACTGAGCCTGCCCCTTTGATCCTCTAGACGGGTGGACCGACCGCTGGATTGAATCCAAACACAAGTCAGATTTTGGAAAATTTGTTCTGAGTTCCGGCAAGTTCTACGGTGACCAGGAAAAGGATAAAGGTAAGAGCCTGGCGGAGTTGGGGGGGGGGGGGCGGTGATCGGATTCAGGGGGACTTCCTGGAGGAAGCTCTTGCACACGACAGACATAGCTTGGGATCCCCATGAGCGGGGCAGGGGGGGAGGAAGGGGCAGTGGTTTGTGCGGCCAATACTTAGGGTCTATGGAGGTTGGGGCTGAGCCATGACCTCACTCTGGTCTCTTGCTAGGGCTGCAGACAAGCCAGGATGCCCGCTTTTATGCCTTGTCGGCCAGATTTGATCCCTTTAGCAACAAGGGCCAGACGCTGGTGGTGCAGTTCACAGTAAAACACGAGCAGAACATCGACTGTGGGGGCGGCTACGTGAAGCTATTTCCAGAGGGCTTGGACCAGACGGACATGCACGGAGACTCTGAATACAACATCATGTTTGGTGAGGGGCCCCGCCCTGGTGCTGACCTCTGATTAGTTACAGGGAGACTTAAATGTCAGGGACCCTTAAAGCTGGTGACAGGTAGTTTTGAGAATATGGACTGTATTTATGTAGTTGAGGCTTGCCTTGGGAGGGGACATGAGAGGATTGCATTGTTATTTGTTGGTGTGAAACTGTTAATTTGTGGTGTTTTATGCAGTTATTTCTGATATTAGCTGTATCAAACTCTAGAGCTCTGGTTGGTTGGTTGGTTATTTCCTTTGTGAAAGTTTCCACCTACGGCCCTTTAGAGCCAGTCAGAGGCTGATTCCTGTGTTGTGACCCTTTGCAGATCTGTATTTAAGAACCAAGTCTTGCTTTGTAAAGTGGGGGCGGGGAGCTTTGCTACGGTGGGCATCCTCTTGCTCTAACTGGACCAACTCTTCACGTAGGCCCGGATATCTGTGGCCCTGGCACCAAGAAGGTTCATGTCATCTTCAACTACAAGGGCAAGAACGTGCTGATCAACAAGGACATTCGTTGCAAGGTGTGACTGGGGGTGGTGACAAAAGGCGGATAGGGGAATGTCGGAGGCCAGCCTGTGGGCGGGGCCACTCATCTCCCACTCTCTTCAGGATGATGAATTCACACACCTGTATACGTTGATTGTGCGGCCGGATAACACCTATGAGGTGAAGATCGACAACAGCCAGGTGGAGTCAGGCTCCTTGGAGGATGATTGGGACTTCTTGCCTCCCAAGAAGATAAAGGATCCTGATGCTGCGAAGCCTGAAGACTGGGACGAGCGGGCCAAGATTGATGACCCCACAGACTCCAAGCCTGAGGTTGGTGTTTGGGCAGGTTCTCCCTACATGGAGGGTGTAGAGGACAGCTGGGTTGACTGACCTCTCTGTGTACCTTCAGGACTGGGACAAACCCGAGCACATTCCCGACCCTGATGCTAAAAAGCCAGAGGACTGGGATGAAGAGATGGACGGAGAGTGGGAACCACCAGTGATTCAGAACCCTGAGTACAAGGTGGGGCTCTGAGCGGGGTTGGGGGGACGCACAGTGGGGAGTATGCTGACCCCCACTCACCCACTGGTCACCTTCCCCTTCTGCAGGGCGAGTGGAAGCCCCGGCAGATCGACAACCCAGATTACAAGGGCACTTGGATCCACCCAGAGATCGACAACCCTGAGTACTCCCCTGATAGCAA